AAAATTGGGAATACCTGTCATCTGGGTGAGAAAGGATATATGTTATCTAGAAGAGTGGGACTCTTGTCATCTAGAAAAGTGGGGACACTTGTCACCTCGAAGAGTGGGAACTCCTCTCATGTAGATGAGTGAGACACCTGTCATCTAGGTGAGTGGGGAATCTTATTATTCAGAAGAGTGGACACACCTCTCATGAAGTTGAATTGAGACACCTGTCATCTAGGTAACTAGGGACACTTGTCATTTAGAAGAGTGAGAACACCTTCTAAAAGAATGTGGAAAGCTGTCGTGTAGGTGAGTGGGAACACATCTCATCCAGAAGACTGGGGACACCTGTCACCTAGATTAGCGGGGACACCTGTCACCTAGATTAGCGGGGACACCTGTCTTGCAAGATACTGGGAATACCTGTCATCTAGGACAGCTATTATCTAAAAGAGTGGGGACACCTGTCAGCTTGAAGAGAGAGGGAACCTCTAATATGTGTGAATAGGGATACCTGTCATCTAGAAGAGTGGGGACACCTGCCATATATAAGTGTCGGAACACATGTCATCTAGAAAAAAGGAAACACCTGTCACCTAGAAGAGTGGGGACACCTGTCATGTAGGTGAGTGACACACCTGTCACCTAAGTAATTGGAATTACCTGTCATCAAAATTAGTTGGACAACTGTCAGGGTAAGGCAGTTGGAGGGGGAGGGCATTCAGGGTGAGGTAGCTAGAAAGGCAGTCAAGGTGAGGCAGATAGGGAAGCAGTCAAGGTGAGGCAGTTAGGGAGGCAGTCAAGGTGAGGCAGTTAGGGAAGCAGTCAAGGTGAGGCAGTTAGGGAGGCAGTCAAGGTGAGGCAGATAGGAAGGCAGTCAAAGTGAAGCAGATAGAGAGGCAGTCAGGGTGAGGCAGTTAGGGAGGCAGTCAGGGTGAGGCAGCTAGGGAGGCAGTCAAGGTGAGGCAGATAGGGAGGCAGTCAAGGTGAGGCAGATAGGGAGGCAGTCAGGGTGAGGCAGTTAGAGAGATAGTCAAACTGAGGCAGTTAGGGAAGCAGTAAAGGTGAGGCAGTTAGGGAAGCAGTCAAGGTGAGGCAGTTAGGGAGGCAGTCAAGCTGAGGCAGTTAGGGAGGCAGTCAAGGTGAGGCAGTTAGGGAAGCAGTCAAAGGTGAGGCAGTTCAAGGTGAGGCAGTTAGGGAGAAGTCAGGGAGACAGTTTTTGAGGCAGTAGTGAGGCATTAGGAGGCAGAGTCAGTGAGGCTAGTTAGAGGCAGCAAGTGAGGCAGTTAGAAAGGCAGTCAAGGTGGGCAGTTAGGGAGGAAGTCAAGGTGAGCATTAGGGAAGCAGTCAAAGGGGAGGGACAGTTAGGGGCAGATCATGGTAGAGGCAGTTAGGGAAGGCATGTCAAGGTGAGGCAGTTAGGGAGGCAGTCATGGTGAGGCAGTTAGGGAGGCAGTCAAGGTGAGGCAGTTAGGGAGGCAGTCAAGGTGAGGCAGTTAGGGAGGTAGTCAAGGTGAGGCAGTTTTAAGGAGGCAGTCAAGGTGAGGCAGTTAGGGAAGCAGTCAAGGTGAGGCAGTTAGGGAGGCAGTCATGGTGAAGCAGTTAGGGAGGCAGTCAAGGTGAGGCAGTTAAGGAAGCAGTCAAGGTGAGGCAGTCAAGGTGAGGCAGTTAGGGAGGCAGTCAAGGTGAGGCAGTCAAGGTGAGGCAGGGAAGCAGTCAAGGTGTGGCAGTTAGGGAGGCAATCAAGGTGAGGCAGTCAAGGTGAGGCAGTTAGGGAAACAATCAAGGTGAGGCAGTTAGGGAAGCAGTCAAGGTGAGGCAGTTTGGGAGGCAGTCAAGGTGAGGCAGTTAGGGAAGCAGTCAAGGTGAGGCAGTTAGGGAGGCAGTCAAGGTGAGGCAGTTAGGGAAGCAGTCAAGGTGAGGTAGTTTGGAAGGCAGTCAAGGTGAAGTAGTTAGCGAAGTAGTCAAGGCGAGGCAGTTAGGGAGGCAGTCATGGTGAGGCAGTTAGAGAAGCAGTCAAGGTGAGGCAGTTAGGGAGGCAGTCAAGGTGAGGCAGTTAGGGAGGCAGTCAAGGTGAGGCAGTTAGGGAAGCAATCAAGGTGAGGCATTTAGGGAGGCAGTCATGGTGAGGCAGTTAGGGAAGCAGTCAAGGTGAGGCAGTTACGGAAGCAGTCAATGTCAGGCAATTAGGGAGGCAGTCAAGGTGAGGCAGTTAGGGAGGCAGTCAGGGTGAGGCAGATAGGGAGGCAGTCAGGGTGAGGCAGTTAGGGAGGCAGTCAATGTGAGGCAGATAGGGAGGCAGTCAGGGTGAGGCAGCTAGGGAGGCAGACAAGGTGATGCAGTTAGGGAGGCAGTCAAGGTGAGGCAGTTAGGGAGGCAGTCAAGGTGAGGCAGATAGGGAGGTAGTCAGGGTGAGGCAGTTAGGGAGGCAGTCAAGGTGAGGCAGTCAAGGTGAGGCAGTTAGGGAGGCAATCAAGTTGAAGCAGATAGGGAGGCAGTCAAGGTGAGGCAGTTAGGGAAGCAGTCAAGGTGAGGCAGTTAGGGAGGCAGTCAACGTGAGGCAGATAGGGAGGCAGTCAGGGTGAGGCAGTTAGGGAGGCAGTCACGGTGAGGCAGTTAGGGAGGCAGTCAAGGTGAGGCAGATAGTGAGGCAGTTAGGGAGGCAGTCAACGTGAGGCAGATAGGGAGGCAGTCAGGGTGAGGCAGTTAGGGAGGCAGTCACGGTGAGGCAGTCAGGGAAGCAGTCAAGGTGAGGCAGTCAAAGTGAGGCTGTTAGGGAGGCAGTCAAGGTGAGGTATTCAGGGATACAGTCAGGGAGAGGCAGTCAGGGAAGTCAGTCATGGAGAGGCAGTCAGGGAGAGGCACTTACGGAGGCAGTCAGGGAGAGGCAGTTACGGAGGCAGTCAGGGAGAGGCAGTTACGGAGGCAGTCAGGGAGAGGCAGTTACGGAGGCAGTCAGGAAGAGGCAGTTACGGAGGCAGTCAGGGAGACAAAGCTATAGTAATAAAGGCAGAGAAAGTCACCTTAATTTCACAACTTCAACCAATATTTTTTTTTCAGTCAGTTGGTATTTATTCTCTTGTTGTATTTTGGATAACTTCGAGATGTTTATTTTCTAGTAATTTTTGCTTGGGATCATTTCTTTCCTTATATAATTTTATACCTCTGATATGCCTTTGATGAGCTTAGAGAGTTTTTCTACTCCCGGAGCCAGGACATGATCCATGTTCGCCTGGTGTTTGCCTGGTCAACTAGGCTGTTGTTACTGTTGGCACCGTTGCCCCACATAACCATCACATTCTGGTTGTTATGCATGAGAGACCTTCATACGACCACTAGCACTCGCTTTTGAACCTCTTAGTAACCACAGTAATTACAACAGAGCTGGAGGGGTAACGCTGGCCAACCTCAGATTGTACCTTACATTAATAAACTATAAAACATACGAGAATTATGGATAATTTTTTTAATAAATACTGAAAATAGTTTAGCAGATAAATAGTCTTGACTGAAAGTACTTTATATGTACCTTTGTTCAGCAAACATGTATAGCCTAAGGACATGCTTGCAGGAGACTTACTCACCTCTGTTGCCGTTAACACAACTATTTACCTTTCTCTTTGGTCAAAAGCCACTCCCCCGGAACTGACTGTAGTCCAAGTGCCCCACGGCCTCCACACGGATAAATACATCAGAAGCGCTCGTGAGATCACACACACACGACCAAATGGAAGCTAGCCTCTACCAACCAACCGGTGTAGCCTGAAGTGCCGTCGTTGTGACACAGAGCGAAGGCTCCTACGTTGGGCCCACATACCTTTACTTAGCTTAGAGTGTGGTCCTCACCCACATGTTCCAACCATGAGTGAGAGGTCGTGAATAGCTGCGCTTCCACCCTCCAAGCTGAAGTGCTGGTTATACTCTTGTGCTCAAACGCAAACATATGTAAAAAGAGGAACCTTATTGTAATGGCCTTTCAACCCCAGAATGTTTTAAACTCTATAAAACACCCAGTAACTTGAAAATTACTAATTCCACGCAAACGTATTATATGTTTATAAACATTTGGGCGGTAGTATATTTCCAGTGGATTTCGTGTCCCAGAGGTTTTCAAATGCAAGTGAAAACTGACAGTGTAACAAACAATATATAAACCTTCAAACAGGGAGCCAATTATAACAGAACTGTCTACAAGCCAAGTTCATCAGTATACTGCGATGATCACCAATTTATCTTCAAATACTAGAAACTAAACGAGACTAACACGCGAAAATCCACTTTCCTTCAAACAATCCTGAGAAAACAGCCATATATTAAGCTTCATTGATCACTAGTCAGTTCCTTTCCCAGCGTAGGATGTCAGATATTTCTGACAATTACTGAAGTCATGAGAATAAGATAAAGATCTACAATAAAATTAACCTATCCAACAATATTTGATAAAACAAACGTAAGATATCACGAACCTCAAATCATGTCTTATTGAAATGCTTGTCAGTATTGTCTACCATTGATATGCAGTAAAATAATAGATACAGTACGTGCTTATGTATATAATACTTCACCTTTGTGAGAGTATCAGTTTACCCTGATACTGTCACAAAAACACTCAAACTACATTCGCAATTAGATAATGGTTATGGACGAAAAGAAACCTTAGTATATACCGTGAGATGTATGTCTCTCATTGTATATATGCTAAGCTATTGCTTTGCTCTATATTCTTGCGTATTTTCGACTTGTGGTGAACAAGTTGTTCGTAGTCTTATTAACCCTCGTGTAGTCGATAGGTATTAAACCCAATTAACCAACCAATTAAGAAACGTTGTCTAGTTTTATCTCAGAATTTTGATATAGTTTTAAAATAGGAATATTTTATTGTGTTTTTCTATTAATTAAGCGATAAAAACACGAATATATTTATACTTACAAAAATCAATGTTCAGAAGTACCTGCAATTAATGGGTTAATGGGAAAACAGAAAATTACAGGTAGGAAAGATAACTGGAGAAGACTTACCTGAAGTGGACGTTGAGGACGCCGACAGTGACGCAGATGGAGAGCGTCACCAAGATCATGGTGAAAAGCAGGTACTTGCCGAGCAGTGGCACCGCCAGGGATGTTGGAGGGATAATCTCCGCAAGCAGCAGGAAGAACACGGTGAGGGAGAGCAGGATGGAGATACACAGAGTCACCTGCAGGTTGGCCGGAGGTTAGAAGCCGCTCAGAGGACTACAACCCTTCGGTCCTGGTAACAATATCCATTGCAGATAGGTGAGTCCGGTGCCCCATCCGTCGGGCTAATAAAACTCATTCTGCTCGATGACGCCCGAGAACTGCCAACAGACTTGTTATATACTGTTAGCAGTTCTGGGGTTTGAGACAACAGAACTGAACTCTCAGTCTGTCAGCAAATGCAGCCACATTGCCTTCTTGATTTATTGTTATACGTACTGAGCCACGTATGGTTTTATTCTTTTTCAAGTATAAAGATGGATAGGGATTTATACAACTGGACAAAGGTTAGTTTAAGGAATTTATAAGCTTGATTATTGAATTTATGGAAATTACATAAATATATAGGGGGGTTAAGAGTCTTAGAAGGTCATAAAGTAATCATTTCTGTCGTGTCAGAAAACTGTTAGTCTTGTTTTTTTAGTCGTAATCACTAAGTTAATGCATTAAACTGTCTTGTATCATCTTAATACAAAGACTGATGAAGAGTCTTTGATTGAAGCAACATTTATAATATCTGCTAAGAGAAACAATCTGTAAAATACAGGATTAGCAACTATCATATGATATAATATTGTAACTTAGACAGAGAGAGAGAGAGAGAGAGAGATGAGATGGAAGACGGTAGATATAAAGACAGAAAGAGAATATCCTGGGCAAGAAAATTACATGCAATATCTGAACACATGTTAGCACGTGACGAATCAGCACCTTCACTGTTGCATCACCTAGTTCTGTTGTTATATACAAGGCAGGGGAATCTTATCATTCTTGCGGCACATGGAGAGCTCCTTGAAACGAAAGTTGAAGCATTCAACTAGGGATTTACTACGTAATAGTTCTTATTTCTGGCTGAGAGAAGCAAGAAGAACATACCTTCTGGCAGACTAACTGACCTTGTGATATACATTCACGATGCACGATCGTGGAAGGCATCTCACGTGTCAGGAGCAGCTCCACATCCCTGCCTACTCACCAACGCTGGTGAAGAGAGGATTGTGAGACTATCTCAACGACTTCTTTAGCGAATTCAAGCAACTTATAGTTCTGCAACCCGTGAAAAATCGTACAAAATGAACACATTTATTGCCATAACGTATGCATGGCACTTTTTAACTGAAGGTAAATACTTAATTATGGTACATTTCGTTTGGATATTTGGCGGACGACAAAAAATAAGTGACGGATTCCGGGATCCACCTGAAAATACAACAGTGGAAACTTCAACTATTATAAACAAAAGTGAAAACGGTGTTAATTCTTTGACGTTCATTTACAAAAATGAACTCATATGCTTTCCATTTTATTTACCAGATCATTAACTCTGCATTTCAACAAACCGGCCGTGTCCCACCGAGGCAAGGTGACCTAAAAAGAAAAACTTTCGTTTTTCTTTTTAAATTTAGTAATCTGTAACTATATCTACCTAAATTTAAATTTAGCTCTGGCAACGCAGAGGGAATTTTGTTGTGACAGCAGCTGAAAGATTAGTGAAATATGAATCATTATGGTGTTTCATATAATAAACTCGGAGAGTTCCAGTAACCTATATGCTCTTTCGCTTAATAAACTTGATAAAAACTCGTAGTTTCATGGCCCTCTTCATTGTTTCACATGATAAACGCATAGTTTCACATGATAAAACCGTAGTTTCATGGACCCCTACGCTGTTTCACACATGATAAACTCTTAGTTTCACCTGATAAACTCATAGCTTTATAGTCCCTTAAGCTCTTTAGCAAGACACACTCGTAGTTTCATGGTCCCCTACGTTGTTTAACACGATAAACACGAGGCTTCATGGACCCGTACACTTGTAATTTCATGCCTGGCTACCTGGAGTTGCATGACGCCAAACAGATTTAACATCGTGAAATAACTGTATTGAATCTCTCAAGTTGGTGTAGCAGAAGCATAGAAAAAGAACAACGGCATTAAACCCTCTAGACGTTCTTGCTAAACTTTTGCAATCAGGGGAAACCTAATTTTGAAAACTTTTACCATAGATTTATTCTTCGTAAAGATTCGCGTAGAATAAATAACTTTTAAAATTTAGGACTACAACAAGCTACGGATAAATTAAGGTAAGTGGGTATTATTATAACCTTAAATTTTTTAAGGGGTGGACGGGTAAGCCAGTTGAAGACCTCGGTCAGATGACTAGAAGCTCCAGTAACGGGTCATAATACAACCTAGACCCGCATCAAGGAATATCTGTCCTGTTTATTAACTAATTTTACCTAACCTACTGATGAGGAGGTTCTTGATCCAAGAAAGTTTAGCCATCCTCCCCATCCTTTAATCAAACTAGACTGACATTCCCGAGCCTCTATATAACACGTCCTGGTTTCTTGCTCTCCCTAGGTAAGTAGAATTAAGGCAAGAGTGTGTGGATAGGTTGTAATGCCCCAGAGTGTGGCATAAAGGAACACTACTGTCACACAAAAACCTATGAAGTTGTCACTTTCAAACCCCTTGGAACATTTATACCCACGACCTGCAGTCATATCAATATTACCAGACCCACAACCTGCAGTCATATCAATATTTCCACACCCACAACCTGCAGTCATATCAATATTACTAGACCCACGACCTGCAATCATATCAATATTACCAGACCCATAACCTGCAGTAATATCAATATTACCCCACCCACAAGCTGCAGTCATATCAATATTACCAGACCCATAACCTGCAGTCATATCAATATTACCAGATCCACGAGGTGCAGTCATATCAATATTACCAGACCCACAACCTGCAGTCATATCAATATTACCAGACCCACAACATGCAGTCATATCAATATTTCCACACCCACAACCTGCAGTCATATCAATATTACTAGACCCACGACCTGCAATCATATCAATATTACCAGACCCACGATCTGCAGTCATATCAACATTACCAAACCCACAACCTGCAGTCATATCAATATTTCCACACCCACAACCTGCAGTCATATCAATATTACTAGACCCACGACCTGCAATCATATCAATATTACCAGACCCATAACCTGCAGTAATATCAATATTACCCCACCCACAACCTGCAGTCATATCAATATTACCAGACCCATAACCTGCAGTCATATCAATATTACCAGACCCACGAGGTGCAGTCATATCAATATTACCAGACCCACAACCTGCAGTCATATCAATATTACCAGACCCACAACCTGCAGTCATATCAATATTTCCACACCCACAACCTGCAGTCATATCAATATTACTAGACCCACGACCTGCCATCATATCAATATTACCAGACCCACGACCTGCAGTCATATCAACATTACCAAACCCACAACCTGCAGTCATATCAATATTTCCACACCCACAACCTGCAGTCATATCAATATTACTAGACCCACGACCTGCAATCATATCAATATTACCAGACCCATAACCTGCAGTAATATCAATATTACCCCACCCACAACCTGCAGTCATATCAATATTACCAGACCCGCGACCTGCAGTCATATCAATATTACCAGACCCATAACCTGCAGTCATATCAATATTACCAGACCCACGAGGTGCAGTCATATCAATATTACCAGACCCACAACCTGCAGTCATATCAATATTACCAGTCCCACAACCTGCAGTCATATCAATATTACCAGACCCACAACCTGCAGTCATATCAATATTACCAGACCCACAACCTGCAGTCATATATTACAAGACCCACGACCTGCAGTCATATCAATATTACCAGTCCCACAACCTGCAGTCATATCAATATTACCAGACCCACAACCTGCAGTCATATATTACAAGACCCACGACCTGCAGTCATATCAATATTACTAGACCCACGACCTACAGTCATATCAATATTACCTGACCCACGACCTGCAGTCATATCAATATTACCACACTCACGACCTGCAGTCATATCAATATTACCACACCCTCGACCTGCATTCATATCAATATTACTAGACCCATGACCTGCAGTCATATCAGTGTTACCGCACTAACGACCCAGTAGTGAAGCACAACACACACACACACACACACACACACACACACACACACACACACACACACACACACACACACACACACACACACACACACACACACAGCTTTAAGCAGAGGTATGATAAAGCTCACGGTTCAGGGAGAGTGACCTAGTAGCGACCAGTGAAGAGGCGGAGCCAGAAGCTTGGACTCAACACCTGCAACCTCAACTAGGTGAGAGCACACACACACACACACACACAAACACACACACACACACACACACACACACACACACACACACACACACACACACACACACACACACACACACACACACACACACACACACACACACACACACACACACACACACACACACACACACACACACACATACATATGTTGAGCACCTGGAACGGAACAAGATTATAAAAGATAACCCGCATGGATTCATGGAAGGCAAATCCTGTGTCACCAACCTTCTGGAGTTCTATGACAGAGTTACAGAAGTGCGACACGAGAGAGAGGGTTGAATTTATTGCATTTTCTTGGACTGCAAGAAGGACTTTGACACAGTTCCTCACAAGAGACTAGTGCAGAAACTAGAGGATCAGGCGCGTATAACAGGAAGTGCACCGCAATGGATCAGAGAATATCTGTCAGGGAGGCAACAATGAGCCATGGTACAGGATGAGGTATCGCAGTGGGCACCTGTGAAAAGCAGGGTCCCAGAGGGGTCGGTCCTATGACCAGTATTATTTCTGGTATATGTTAATGACATGATGGAAGGGATAGACTCAGAGGTGTCGCTGTTCGTAGATGATGTGAAGTTAATGAGGAGAATTAAATCAGATGATGACCAGGCAGGACTTCAAAGAGACCTGGACAGGCTGGACACGTGGTCCAGCAACTGGCTCTTGAATTCAACCCTGTCAAATGCAAAGTCATGAAGATCGGATAAGAGCAAAGAA